ATGCCAGTGCGACGCTCACATGGAGAACGACGCTGGGTTGTGCTACAAAAAATGCCGCGACGGCTTCGATGGCGTCGGTCCCGTGTGCTGGGGCGAGCCGCCCACCGGCTGGGTAAACTGCGGCATGGGCGCCGCGGTGGACAAGGCCACGTGCGGCAGCGCCATCGCCGACATGGTCCTCGGGCCGCTAGAGATCATCGCTTTCGCGGCCTCGTTCGGGACGTCGACCGCGGCCACGGCGCCCGCGAAAGCTGCAGCGAAAGCGGCGAAGGGCGCCGCCAAAGAACTCGCGGAGCAGGGGACCGAATCACTCGTGAAGCAAGTCAAAAAGCAAGTCGTGGAGACCACAGGCGAGTCCATGGCGACCGGAGGCGGCGCGCAGCTGGTGTCGTCCATCGGCGGGCTGCAAAAATCACCGTCAACCGTCGACACCCTTCGCAAAGCCATGGAAATCGCCGCGCTCGTCGACCCCACCGGCGTGTCTTCCACCGTCGCCGCGTACGCGCACGACAAGTGCGATAAGATCTCGCCGTGATTTCAAGTGCGACGTTTGAAAAGGGAGGCTGAAGCCTCTCCCTGAGCAGGGGTGGTACCACCCCGCTACAGTACCCCTGTCGTGTACCTTCGTATTGCTGTTATCATATTTTTATTATTGTTATAAGATATCATATTTCTCTCAATAGCCTCACTAGACGATAACACCCTCCCCGATGTCGCCGCCGTTCATAGAATACCAATCTTTAAACGCAAATGGGACCAAAACATACCATCATCCTCCTACCGGGGATGTTGAAATGTTCTCATAGGAGAGGCGACTCGGTGAGGTCTGTGAGGCTCTACAAAGTCTCGTGAAGGCTCTACAAAGTCTCGTGTCTCTACAAAGTCTCGTGATTTCTGCTTCAACAAGGCTCACGGAGGTTTTGTAGGGTTTGGGTCGCTACGCTCCGGTCGCTGCCCCAAGGACTCGTGATTCCCGTCAGCCCCCGTGCTTCAAAACAGACCCCAGACCCTGAGAAAAAGTATAAACTACGATCACTACTTAACTTATTATTGAAAAAAAAATATAACTTTACATACTCTTAAACTATTCTTGTGTATTGTAAAAATAGTTTGGTAGCAGTCATAATTTATACTTTTTATCCATATATGTGTGGTCTGAAACAGGTGCCAAAATGTGGTGACACTGCATTCACTGCCCCACAGACCCGTGATTTCCGTCAGCCCCTGTGGTTCAAAACAGACCCTTAGAAAAAGTATAAACTACGATCACTACTTAACTTATTATTGAAAAAAAATTATAACTCTATAAACTTATAAACTATTCTTGTGTATTATGAAAATAGTTTGGAGTCAGTCATAATTTATACTTTTTATTCATATATGTGTGGTCTAAATCAGGTCTGAAACAGGTGTCATAAACAAAGGATCGGGTCGCTACGCTCCGGTCGCTGCCCCAGAGACCCGTGATTCCCGTCAGCCCCTGTGGATCAAAACAGACCCTTAGAAAAAGTATAAACTACGATCACTACTTAACTTATTATTGAAAAAAAATTATAACTTCATATACTTATAAACTATTTCTATGTATTATGAAAAAAGTTTGGGGGCAGTCATAATTTATACTTTTTACCTCTCCTAATATGGTCTAAAAATGGTCTCATATCTATGTCATAAATCGGGGCAAAATCGCTACATTGTTTCGATACCATTTTGAAACTTCATCGAAATTGAGCCAATTTTCACCTCACCAAATGTAGTCAAAAATGGTCTCAAATCTATGTCAAAAATCGGGGCAAAAGTGCAATTTCATCGAAATTTGGCCCATTTTTACCTCACTAAAAGTGATCGCATTTTCTGACGAAAACGATGAAAGTTTTACAAAAAGTCTATGCTTTTCGGCAGAAAGTAGCCGTAGGCTCGGTGTTGCCGACATCATAGGGATTTCAAAAGCCACCTGTCGCAAGGGTCTACCCTAAAGCTACTATCCCTGATTGAATGGCGTCGTCCAGCACACGGCAACCGAGGACAAAAGCCCCCTTTAGGGGGCGGGTGTACTGGCCCATAACCTATGGGTATTTGATAGGTGGTTGTGTGGTTTCAATTAAACGAAGTTGACCGACGCAGTCGGTCAGTATTGAAGCCTTCACACCAGTTCTATCTAATTCCCACAGGTTATGGGCCAGTACGTGTACACTATGCCGCGGCGCGGCGCGACGAACTAACAACCGCCGACGCGCGCGGGCGCCGTCCGTCGCGATGTCGCCGTCGTCGTCCTCCTCCTCCTCCTCCTTCTCGTCGTCTTCCGGCGGGAAGCGCGCGCTCGAGCGCCTCGCCGCGACCGTCCTCGACCACGACGCGTGGACGTTCGCGTCGACGCGCGCGCGCGACGCCGCGCGACGACGCGAGGTGTCCGCCGCGGTCGCGGAGTGCGCGCGCCTGCATCAGCTCTGCTCGTGCGCGTCGCTCGACGACGCCGCCAACGCGGAGCTGGTCCTGCGCGTCGCCGCGACGTGCATGGCGCGGCGACTGCTGGGGCGGATCGGGAGGACGCTCGACGACGGCGCGCGCGCGGCGGTGGACGCCGCGGTCGCGGACGTCGCGACGAGGACGCGGCCGCGCCTCGCGAGATCGCGAACTCTCGACGACGACGACGACGACGACGACGACGACGACGACGACGACGACGCGCTCGCGCGCGTCGTCGAGACGCGGATGACCGCGCTCGCGGAGGAGATGCTCGAGGGGTGGAAGGGCGCGGACGCGCCGCGACGGACGGCGACGGCGACGGCGACGGCGACGGCGATCGCGCGCGCGGTCGACGAGACGACGCGCGACTTTCTCGACGCGTGCCGTCGCGCCGCCGCCGCCGGCGCCGCGCTCTCCCTCCGCGAGCGCGTGAACCACCTCCTCCTCCCGCGCGCGCTCGGGTTCGCGCAGGCGATCGCGTCCCTGGACGCGCGCGCCGCCGCCGCGCTGGGAGACACGAGGTGCGTCGTCCCGCGCGGCGTCGTTCGTTCGTTCGTTCGTTCGTTCATTCATTCATTCATTCATTCATTCATTCATTCATTCATTCATTCATTCATTCATTCATTCATTCGTCGTCGCGCCGGTCCCGACGCCTTTTCTCTCCCTCCGCCCGCCCCTCGCTCGCGGTCGCGACGCGCGACGCCTCGCGACGCCGACTGACGCGCGCCGCCCACCCCGACGCCCGATCGCCCTCCTCAGCGCGGAGACGGTCGAGCGCGTCCTCGAGGCGTGCGACGCCGCGGCGGAGGCTTTTGAGGACGCCGTCGCCGCGCGCCGCCGCGAGTCGCGCGCGCCGTCGATCCTGGGGGGATTAGAAACGCTCTTCAAGGGGGCGTTATCGACATCAACATCGACGTCCTCGAAGGCGAAGGTGGAAGCGGCGTCGACCGAGGCGGACGACGAGAGCGGCGAACTCCGTCTGCGCGAAGGTGGGTCGTTCTACACGCTGGTCCCCGTACGACCGCGTCGGCGTGGGGAACGCCGATCCTTGAGGACTTTTCTTCTCGGCGTGTCTCTCCGCCCACCCCTCGGTTTCGATCCCCGCCATCGACGCCTTTCAACTCCGCTTCTGACGCCTTTGAACCTCACCCTTCACTCCTCTCACCGCGCGAAGCCGTCGCGGCGACGCTTCCGGGGATCCTCGCCGCCGCCGCGCCGGGCGTCGTCGCCGCCGCCGCGGACGCGAGGGCGCGCGCGGAGCGGTACGCCGCCGCGCGGGAAGCCGCCGACGCCGCGAGGGAGAAGACGCAGACGCGAGGAGGGCGGACGACGGGCGCGACGGGAGAAAAAGAGACGCGACGGATGCGACAGACGCGGAGGACGGGGACGGACCCGTCGTCGTCCTCGTCGTCGAACTCCTCCTCCTCCTCCTCCGACGACGACGAGACCGAGCTCTTCGCGATCACGCCCGAGGAGGCGATCCGCGCGATTCGAAGGTGCGTTCTATAAGACACTGGTCCCCATACGACCGCGTCGGCGTGGTGAACGCCGATCCTTAAGGACATTTCCCGGCGTGTCTCTCCGCCCAGCCCTCGCTTTCAATCCCCGCCCACGGCGCCTTTCAACTCCGCTTCTGACGCCTTTCAACTCCACCCATGACGATTCTAAGCGCGCGCGCGCCCGAGGAGTGCCGCGCGACGCTGGCGGAGGCGCCGATTCGAAACGCGCTGCGTCCCGCGCCGACGTTCGCGCGTCCCCTCGCGCGCGCCGCGGTCGACGAGGACGCCCAGGCCGGGACCGGGGGGACGCGCGATCGCGGTCGCGGACTTCTTCTCGCGAGGGTCGTGACCGGGGACCAGGTCGCGAAGGACTGGCTGCGCGAGGGCGAGGGGATCGAGGTGAGGTGGCGCGAGCGTCGGACGGCGTCGGACGGCGTCGCAACGGTTGGCGTTTCGGGTTCCGACGAGGCGCGCCGCACCGTGCGCAGCGCGTCGTTCGGCGACGGCGTCGGGCGCGAGGCGACGGCGACGCGCGCGACGACGCGCCGGGGACGACGGTCGCGTCGCGGAGGTAGAGTCGCCGTCGCGACGACGTGCACGGGGCCGTTCTGCGCGCACTTCGTCGCCGCGTGCGCGGCGTTGGAGCGCGTCATCGCGGACGTCGGAACGTGCGTCGTGACCTCGGAGGGAGGTCGAGGCGGCGTACCGGGCGTCGTCGGCGGATCCGCCGCGGCGGCGGCGTCCGCGCGCTCGCGCGACGCCGCCGCGCGCGTGCTGTTCGCGGCGTCCAGGACCGTCCGCGGCGGCGACGCGCTCGCGTACGTCTTCCGTCTCTTCGGCGGCGGGCCGCGCGGCGACGACGACGACGACGCCGACGACGGAGACGATGCCGAGGGCGAGGGTGACGGCGCGCCGCCTTCCGCGGTGTTCGGCGCGTTCTCCTCACGCGTGTCCCCGTACGATACGATTCCCTCGGCGCGGCGCGCGCCGTTCCTCGAGGACTTTCTCTCGCGGCGCGTCTCTCCCCGTCGCCCCTCGCTTTCGATCCCGACGCCTCGCGGCTCCGACTGACGCCTCACGACTCCGCCCGCCCCGACGTTCGCTCGTACGGTATGCGACCCTCATCAGTCTCCGCGGCGCAGCCGACGGACGCGCGACGGATCCTCCGCGACGTCGGCCCAGCCGTGCGCGTCGACGTCGGTCGTCGCGCCGTCGTCGTGACGTCGCGCGACGTCTTCATCGTCTCCAGAGCGAGGTGCGCGCGTCCCCGTCCCCGTCCCCGTCCCCGTCCCCGTCCCCGTCTATGGTGCCCCGCGCCGACCCTAAACGTGATAATAAACCCACCCACCCTTTCGCTCCTCGACTGACCGACGCGCGTCGACCCCCGCCCGCAGCGACGCGTTCCTCGGGGACTGGGGCGACGACGACGGCGCCGTCCCCCGAGCGGTCGCCGCGGTCGCGCTCCGGTGTCGACAAGTCTTGAGACCCTCTCCTTATGACGGGTCGCTGGAGGTGACGGAGACGACGATCGGGCTCGAGCGGCGCGTGTCCGCGGCGACGCTGGACGACTTCGTCGCGACGCGCGCCGCGCGCTGACGACGGTCTGATGAGGCGCGTTCCGTGCGCACGACGGTCGGTCCCCGCGATGAGCGACGTAGCGAGACAGGACTGCGGGATACGAGTGGGACGCGCGCGCGCGCGCTGCTGCTATATCAGAAACAGTTTTCTACCCTAGGGGTCCGGAAACGGTCTTCCCGTCTTTTTCTAGCAGCGCAAATGCATGGAACTGGTGTCAAAATCGCAAATGGCTGCTGTGCAAAGTTTCAGGTCAATTCAAGCTGGGGCGGCGCATGGGGAAGCGCGGACGTGAGGGGGCGCGTCTGACTGACGCTCATACGAATTTTGAATTAAAAAATCGCAAATTAATTTGGCGTTAATTTGGCCGATACGCGGCTGACTGGGCGTCATACGATTTTCACTTAGCGCACCTCGTCTATCATATTGAGTCTGGTTCTTTTGTTGTTTGTTCGAGAGGATAACGCACGTTTTTCCAAGACGTTCACGTACACGAACGTCGCGGAGAAGCCGAAGTTGCCGAGCATCACACCTGCTCGAAACCGAAAATGTCGCCCACGATTCACGCGCTGATCGCGCCGCTCGCATCGACCCGCGTCACCCCCCGCGGTCGCGTGCGCCCCTCTGCGCGCGCCATCGTCAGGGCGCGCGCTCGCATCCCCGCGTGCAGGAATAATTCGCGGGAAACGACGACGGCAACCTTCAACACTCCACCGCTCTTCAACACCGCTCTTCAACACCGCTCTTCAACACTCGCCGCCGCCGCCCCCGCCGTCGTCGTCGCCGCCGCGGTCACGGCGGAGCGGTCCCCCGTCCCAATCAAGACGCTCATCCTCGGCGTCCTCTTCGCGGGCTGGTACGCGTGCAACATCGTGTTCAACATCTGCAACAAGCAAGGTGCGTTCTATACAAAAGTTTTTCACCCATCTCCCGGTTTCAACATTTGATCGCTCCCCCTTTTCAACTGACCGATGAACTGTTTTTGTATGGAATTTCTTCAAGTGTTGGGCGCGTACCCGTTCCCGCTCACGTCGACGCTGTGGCAGTTCGCCGCCGGCGTCGCCTTCACGGCGTTGTTGCAAATGACGGGTATACACAGGATAAACAAAGATGCGCTGACGATGGAGTCCCTGAGGGCGATCGCACCGCTCGCGATCGTGCACACGCTGGGGAACGTCCTGACCAACGTGAGCCTCGGAAAAGTAGCCGTCTCGTTCACGCACACGATCAAAGCGATGGAGCCGTTCTTCAGCGTGCTCTTATCGTCGCTGTTTTTGGGGGACGTTCCCTCCGCCGCGGTGATCGCGACGTTGGTGCCGATCGTCGGCGGCGTCGCCGCGGCGTCCGTCACGGAGGCGTCGTTCAACTGGCCCGGGTTCCTCGCCGCGATGGGAAGCAACGTCACGTTTCAATCCAGAAACGTCCTCTCCAAGAAGCTGATCGGCGGCGACGGGTGCTCGCAGGCGTGCCCGGCGATACCGATGGACAACATCGACCTGTTCTCGATCATCACCATCATGAGCCTCGCGCTGACGTTACCCGCCGCCGTCGTTCTGGAAGGTGTCCGGTTCACACCCGGAGCCATCGCCGCCTACGCCGCCTCCGCCGGCGCCGCCTTTTCGCCGGCGGTGATATTCCAGAAGGCGATGATCGCGGGGGCTTGTTTCCACATGTACCAGCAGATCTCGTACATGATCTTAGCGCGCGTCTCGCCGGTGACGCACAGCGTGGGGAACTGCGTGAAGAGGGTGGTTGTGATTTCGTTCTCCGTGTTGTTCTTCAAAAACGCGGTTTCGCCGGTGAACGCCGTCGGAACCGCCGCGGCGTTGGGCGGGGTGTACGCGTACACGCGGGTGAAGCGGGCGGAGCGGGACGCCGCCGCGGCGAAGATTGAATAGCGCCCGTCGCGATGAAACGTGGCGCGCGCGGGCGTAGTGTACGATAGCGCGAGTGGTTTTAGTAGTGTACGATAGTAGCGCGAGTGGAAGGTAGAACATACACCGCTCGTCGTTCCGGCTAGTACCAAGGGCGCATCGCGACGGGCCCGCAACACACGGCCTCGTCCATGCGCTCGTCGTACCCGCCGACGATGGCCGCGAACGACGTCGCGCGTTTCTCCCGTCTCCGTCCCCCGGGCCCCGCGTTCGCGTTCGCGTTCGCGTTCGCCGCGCCGCCGCCGCCCTCCGCGTCGTTCTCCTTCTCCTCCTCCTCCGCCGCCTTCTTCGCCGCGCGTCGCGCCTTCACGCGCTCTTTCGTCGTCCGATCCAGCGCCAGCATCGCCATCGTGAACCCGCCCGCGCACAGCAGCGTGATCCCGCCCCATCCCATCGCGACGACGAAACACGAGAGCAGCCACGGCTCCACGGACGCGCGCCACGCGTCCGCCTCCGACAACCCCGCCTGCGACATTCGCGCGATCCCGAACGCGAGGTACGTCACGCACGCGACGCCGCCGGCGAACAAGAACGCGCCGAAGAACCTGTGGTTCCCGCGAGCGACGCACGTGCCGACGAACGGGCAGTGATGGTCGAACCGAGCCATGCAGTACCCGCACGTGGAACAGTGCGACGACCGCGGCGGGCGCCTGCGAGCGACGCGCGGCGAACGGACGGACGATACGATGAATCGACGACGACGACGCGTTGAAAGGGGGGGTTCATCGGTCAGTCGATCGAGTCGATCGTCCGACGCGACGCGCAGGTGACCCGACGCGGAGACCGAGACCGGGCGAGGGACGGGACGGCGCGCGCGCTCGCGTCGTACCAGACGCGTCGTATGGGTAATTAGTCGGGTGTCGTACCAGATGTGACACGTGACGCAGTACCGCGCGGTGACGCATCGTTCGTCGTATTCGATCGCGGCGGTCCCGCCGAGAAGCGTCGTCGCTTCCATGTCTTCGGGGTCGAGTAACCGTTTCGGCACGAGCGTTTTCAAGGGTTGCCCGTCGTGCGCTTTGCTGTATCGCTTCAAGAAGACCTCGTCGGGGTCGAACGCGCGCGGCGCGACGTTCTCGCCGCGGCTCCAGAACCCGCCAAACGGTCCCCCGTCCCCGTCCCCGTCCCCGCGCGATCCCGCGCTCGCGCGCGCGCGTCCCGCTCGCCGCCGTCGCCCCGACGCGCCGCACGCCCTCGCGGCGCGCGCGACCGCCGCGGTCTCTTCCTCGTCCAACGGCGCGACCACGATCGGACGTCGCTTCTCTGGGAGGGGCCATTCCATACAAAAACAGTTCACCGGTCATACAGTTGAAAGGGGATGCGATCAAATGTTGAAACTGGACAATGGGTGAAAAACTTTTGTTTTGAACGCACCTAGGAACCACGTCACGTCCGGCGCGTCTCCGTCCCGTCTCGGCGGAATCACCCCCGGGTCCGAGTAGTGCACGAGCCACAGCCCTGCGAGGACGAGCGCTGGGAGCGTCGCGACGACGACGCGCGCCCACGCCGGGATCGCGCCGCGCCCGGCGTCGTCCGAGCCGTTCCAGTCGACGCGCTGGAGCACGAGAAACTGATGATCGACGCGGGAGGGCGATTCCGTGTGAGATGATTTCGTTCGTCGGTCAGTTGAAAGGGGACGCGATCGACTGTTGAACCTGCGGGGTGGGTAAAGTTTTCTCACCTCGCAAGCGAGGTACGCGAGGATCACGTAGAGCGCGATGACCAGGGGCGCGCCTCCGTTGCGGCACTCCTCGTCGTCGAGCCATCGCGCGGGGGGCGGCGGCGGGGCGTCGTCGTCCGCCGAGCGCGCGGCGAGGATGCGCGCGGACGACGTCGCCATGGCTCCGCGCGCGCGGGAAACTGCGCGCGGCACCGAACAGAAAGTTCCTTCAGCACGAAGCGTGATACAGTAGTTGTACATGTACTGTACTCGTACGTGTACAGTACATGTACGAGTACACGTACACTACATGTACACGTGTCTGGTACTACTACTGATAGACTGACGATTCGAATTTCTCGGACAGATAGACCGGCGCCGCGCCGCGTTCGCGCGGATGCCGCAGCTCGACCTCGCGTCGATGTGGGGGCGCTCGACGGAGAAGCGCGTCGTCGTCGATCGCGGCGGCGGCGGCGACGACGAGAACGTCCCCCCTCGCGGCGGCGGCGACGCGCGCGCGAGGGATGGAAGCGCGCGGGGAGGCGATCTCGCGAGCGGCGAACCCGGCGCGGCGGACGCGAGCGACGACGCGAGCGACGACGACGACGGCGAAGACGCTGGGGCGGCGTACGAGCGCGAGCGCGACGCGCGAATCGCGCGGAACCGCGAGATCATGCGCGAGCTCGGCATCGACGCCGCCGTCGCGCGCGGCGTCGGCGGCGCGGGACGCGGTCGACGAGGACGACGAGGACGACGCGACGACGACGACGACGACGACGACGACGCGCGTCGACGATCGCGCGAGGCGCGCCGACGCGCGAAAGCCGCGAGAGCGGCCGCGGCGGCGACCGCGCCGACGCGACGGTCCTCGCGCGCGACGCGGCATCTCGGCTCGTTCGTGGACGACGTCCACGCGGACGCGATTCGCGCGGCGGGCGCGCGGCCGCCGCCTATTCCGCCGCCGCGCGCGGCGCCCGCGCGCGCGTCGCCGCCGCGCTCGCGCTCGCCCTCCCCGGAGACCTTCGACGACAGCTCCGTGTTCAGGTACTCCGCGATGCAGGCGTCCACGGCGACCTTCGACGAATGTCGGACAACTGTTGGACAACTGGCGGACAACTGGGTCGGACGACTGTCGGACGACGACTCGCGACGAGGAGCCTCTGAAGGGCGGCGGCTTCTCGGGTTCCGCGAGACGAGACGGTCGTTCCGCGACGCCGCGTGCAAGAAGGGTTTCTACGTGATCGACGCGCTCGAGTCCGAGGCGGCGCCTATGCTCGTCGCCGGCGGCGACGGCGGCGTCGTCGCCGTCTTCGGCCTCTCTCGCGGCGAGAGAAGAAGAGACGAAAGTTCATTGGACGACGAAATATCGGACGAATGTCGGACGTCTGAGGCGCGTTCTATCTTCACACTGGTCCCCGTACGACCCCGTCCGCGTGGTGAACGCCGTTTCTTAAGGACTTTATCTCCCGACGCATCTCTCCGCCCACCCCTCGCTTTCAATACCCGGCCTCGGCGCCTTTCAACGCCAACTGACGCCTTTCAACTCCACCCCGACGTTCGCTCGCGTAGAAGAACGCACCCGACGCGCCGACGCCGCCGTTGATGTCCTGGCGCGCGCACCGGGGGTGGGTCTCGCACGCGCAGTTCCTCGACGTCGGACGGAACACCGACGATCCCGCCGCTCCGCCGATGGTGCTCACGTCCGGCGGAATGGACGGCGTCGTCGCGCTGTGGGACGTCTCGAAAGCCGGGCGCGTCACCGGCGATCCGTCGAGGGCGCGCGACGTCGCGGAGACGTCCGAAGCCGGCGCCGGCGTCGGCGTCTTCTCCGCGCACGCGGCGGCGCGCGCCGGCGGCGACGCGATCGCTCGCGTCGTCACCGGCTCGAAAGACTCGACCGTGCGTCTCTGGGACCTCTCGAGAGCGTCGGGCTTCGCGCTCGCGCGGACGTTCGACGCGCGTCACCGCGGGGTGGTGAAGTGCGTCCGGTGGCGGCCGTCTCCGGGCGGCGGCGACGGCGGTGAGACTGCTTCCCGTACGACTCCGTTCGCGTGTTGATCGTCGTTTCTTAAGGAGTTCTTTCCTTTCGCGCGCTATGATATGAACCTCACTTTTTGACAATCGGGAATGATATACACCAATCACATGCACACGTGACTGACACGTGTTTTCCCTCGGCCTATCACAGCCGGCGGCGACGGAGGCGGCGGCGACGGCGACGTGTTCGCCACGGGCGGCGCGGACGGCGACCTCCGCGTGATGGACGCGCGCGCGCGCGGCGACGGCGTCGCGGGCGCGATAGATCGCGCGCACGACGGCGCCGCGGTGCACTTCATCGAGTGGTCCGCGAGCGGACGCGAGTTTTTGACGTCGGGCGGCGACGGCGTCGTCCGCGCGTGGGCGCGTTCTATCTTCACACTGGTCCCCATACGACCCCGTCCGCGTGGTGAACGCCGTTTCTTAAGGACTTTGCCCGTCGCATCTCTCCGCCCACCCCTCGGTTTCAATACCCGGCCTCGACGCCTTTCAACGCCGCTTCTGACGCCTTTCAACTCCACCCCGACGTTGGCTCGCGTAGGACGTCCGGTTTCTGGGCGAAAAAGAACGACGGGGGGGAACGGCGCTCTCGTGCGAGATCGTCCGCGGCGCGCGGGCGTCCGGGCACGTCGCGCGCGAGGTGCGCCGACCGCGGACGATGACGCGCGCGGTGTACGTCGACGAGACGCGCGTGGTGACCCCGGGGGAAGGGTCGCGGCGGCTGTCGTTGTACGCGACGCGCGAGAGACGCGGCGGCGGCGATGGCGGTGAGACTGCTTCCCGTACGACTCCGTTCACGTGTTGATCGTCGTTTCTTAAGGAGTTCGTTCTTTCCTCTCGCGCGCTATGATATGAACCTCACTTTTTGACAATCGGGAATGATATACACCAATCACATGCACGCGTGACTGACACGTGTTTTCCCTCGACCTATCACAGCCGGCGGCGGCGGCGCCGGCGGCGACGGCGAGGCGGCGGTCGTGAGCCGAGGCGAGCTCGGGTACGACGCGACCGCGGTGTACGCGCGCGCGAGGGCGCCGCGCGGGCGAGAGTGGGCGCTCGCGCTCGCGGAGAAGAGCGAGATTCGTCTGTACGAGCCGCTCTGGTCTGGAGCGCGCGCGGACGCGGCGGGCGACGACGTGGCGGCGGATTGAGGTGCGTTCGATACAAAAATAGTTCACCGGTCAGTTGAAACGGGACGCGATCAAACGTTGAAACCGGACGATGGGTGAAAAACTTTTGTGTAGAACGAATGACGGATTCGAGCGTAAGGTAGGATACGTGTCACGTACGAAAGTACGAGGCCACATTGGAAGTACAGTACGAAAGTACTTTCGAAAGTACGAAAGTACTTTCGTACGAAAGTACGAAAGTACCTTCGTACGAAAGTACTCAACGTACTTTCGAAAGTACGAAGGTACGAAAGTACGAAAGTACTTAAGTATCTATACGGAAGTAGGCAGATTCCCTCTGACTACGATCGCATACAGTACAGTACGGTTCTTTGGAAATCAAACGTTTGCGCCAGGTTTGCGCTCGCCGCCTGCACTGCACTGCAAATACCGCGAGTGTCTACATCTTTTCGAGTGTCGTGTCTTTTCGTGTGTCTACAACTCATCGAGGGCGCGGTCGCACACCGCCGCCGCGCGCGTTCTTCCGCGCGAGGGCGCGACGCCGCGGTCGACGCGCGTCGACGAGCCGACGCGCGTCGACGAGCCGACGCGCGTCGACGAGCCGACGCGCGAGCGACGCGCGCCCTCGCCCGGGACGCCCGCGTGCCACGCTGGCGGTCGTCGCTGAGCAAGCACGAGCGGCGGCAAAAAATACCTGCACCGCAGAGACGAGGTGTCCGCATCCGAGCGAGTGTCCGCATCCGATGGTGGCGACGCGCGACGGCGCGCGATGGTGGCCGACGCGCGAACCCCCCGGGGAGAAACCCACGACGCTGTTCATGGACCGCACCCGCCGTGAGATCGTGCCGATCGCGACCGCGGACCTCGCGCACCATCGCGTCGTCGCCGCGGCGGTGTGCCAGGAGGGCTGCTACCCGGACAAATCGCGCGCGCACGTGAACCAAGACACCTTCGTCCTCGACGTCGCGTTCGAGGGCGACGCGAACCAATGCTTGCTCGGGGTCTTCGACGGCCACAGCGTCCACGGCGAGGACGCGGCGCAGATCGCGGCGGCGACGCTCCCGAGGACGCTGAAGGAGCTGCGGGCGGACGACGCCTTCGAGAACCATCTCGGCGACCGCGCATTGAGGTGCGTTCTATACACTGGTCCCCATACGACCGCGTTCGCGTGGTGAACGCCGATCCTTAAGGACTTTTCCCGGCGTGTCTCTGCGCCTAGACCTCGCTTTCAATCCCCGACCGCGACGCCTTTCAACTCCACCTGACGCCTTTGAACTCCACTCCGACATTCGCTTGTATAGAACGCCCCTGACCGCGTCGCCGCTCGACGGCGACGACGCGGGGCCATCCGCGTTCGCGACCGCGTTCGAACGAACGAACGACGTCATCGTGCGCGAGCTCGCAGAGGACGTGAAGTCGTCGGGAACGACCGCGGTCGTCGCGCACTTGATCGGGGACATGTTGCACGTCGCGAACGTCGGGGACTCGAGGGCGATCTTAGGAATCGCGGCGAGCGGCGAGGAGGCGAGGCTGTCATCGTCGTATGAGCAATCATCGCGCGCGTCGTCGCCAACGAACGAGAACGACGTCAGTCCTAGGTGGGAGGTCCTGCCCGTGACGCACGACCAGACGTGCTTCCGGCACGACGAGCGCGTGCGGATGAAGAAAGAAGCGACCGAGGACGTCATGTTCGCGACGCTCGGGATGATCCTCGGCGAGGTTCCGTTTAGCGAAGACTTCGGCGAGGAGACGATTGAGGCCGCGGACGACCCGCCGCGGGTGTTCAAGAACAAGAAGCACTACCCCGGGTGCGCGTTCACGCGGAGTTTAGGGGACACGATAGGCAAGAGCCTCGGCGTCAGCGCCAAGCCGGAGACGCTGTCGTATCGCTTGGACGACGCGAGCCGGTGCCTCGTGATCGCGTCGGACGGCGTCTTTGAGTTTTTAGAAAACAAAGATGTGATCGCGATATGCGAGAGATACGAGGGCGACGCGCTGGGGGCGTGCGAGGAGATCACGCGCGCCGCGTACGCGTGCTGGAGCGAGGAGGACACGCGAGCGGACGACGTCACGTGCGTCGTCTCGTATTTCACGCCAAAGCCGAGCGCGGCGAAGGCGCCAAAACCGGCGACGGCGCCGTCGAAAGCCGCGGAGCAGTGGATGCGCGTCAGAAGGCAAGTGCGCGCGGGGCACACGAAGAAAGAGCCGGGTTTGCGGTTCGCGAACGCGGCGCTCGCGAAAGCGGCGATACATCTCCGCACACGTCGCGGCTCGCTCGCGATCGAGGATTTGTTCCCCAGGTTCGAGTGGGACACGATGGAGGGCGCGGGGGTCAACTTGAAAGACCTCGTCGACGCCACCGCCGGGCTTGGCGTGTGAGAAGCGACGAGAACGAGGAGGTCGACGTACACGTGTAATCTTACTGTACGTTGATGTTGTTGATGACGTTGAAGTTTAATCAAATACCTTCGAAGGTACGTAAGGTAACTGACAAAAAAAACGCCCTTAGTAACTTACCTTGAAGGTACTTTACTTTCGAAAGTACTGTACGTGTACGAAGGTACAGTACCTACAGTAGTGTATGCTGTTCGCGGGTCGCCCTCACGGGCACGTTTAAAGGCGCGCGCGTGGGCCGATTTGCCTTTCAAAATTTTCGCCCCTTGATCGTGAATCTCCGGTGAGCCTCGATGAAAAATAATCACCGATGAAAATGCGATGAAAATTTCCCCACCGGGAGGACGCGGTTTCAAAGTTTTTTTTTACCCGACTAATTTGAAACTGGCGGATGTGGACAAATCGTCCACATCCCACTTTCCGGAAGGGCGACCCGCGAACAGCTAAAATGTACTCACTACGAAAGTACGAACAGGTCGGGTATCGGGAGCACTGTTGTTATTCGAAGACGCCGCCGCGTCTGCGCCGACGGTCAGGTCGCGAAGGTCGCGCGCGCGGCGGCGGTCGACCGAGCGAGGACCGCGGCGGACGCGCGCGGACGCTTCGCGGCGGGACGCGCTCGCGCGGCGGCCGCGGTCGGGTCGACGCGCGCGAGATCGCGAGAGAGAGAGAGAGGCGCGGGGGAGGGGGCGCTCGAGTCCGCGAGCGATGGTCGTTCAGACGCGCGCGCGCGCCGCGGGGCACGTGGAGAACATCGCGCGTCAGCGACTCGTGGCGTACTCGGACTCGGACTCGGACGCGGACGCGGACGTCGCGGAGGAGACGACGACGCGCGATGAGGCGACGGACGCGTCCGCGTCGGCGGCGGGTCTCCCGCCAGACTTTTTAGATCCGACGTCGCTCGCGCGTCGCTCGCCGTCCAGACGCGCGCGACCCGACGCGGAGCGCGCGTCGGTCGACGCGGCGGCGACGGCGACGCCTCGCGCGTCGGTCGACGCGGCGGCGACGGCGACGCCTCGCGCGTCGGTCGACGCGGCGGCGACGGCGACGCCTCGCGCGTCGGTCGACGCGGCGGGAAGCAGCCCGGGAGAAGGCGCGGCGAGCGCCGCGCGCGGATTCCGATTTCGATTCCGATTCCGCGGCGGCGGCGGCCAGGACGACGACGACGACGACGACGACGACCGCGCGTCGTCATCCCCCGAGGAGACGCCGCCGTCGCCGTTCGACTCGAACCGTTCGCTCTCTCCCATGGACCTCGAGGAGTGCGACCGACCGGGACCGGGTCCCGGAAGCGACGGGGCGGATGGCGACGAAGAAGAGCCGGAGCCGTCGTCGTCGTCGCCGTCGCCGTCGCTCGGCGCGTTCACGCTCGGCGCTTCCGGGGGGGCACGCGGAGGCGCGCGCGGGACGCCCGGCAGCGCGCGACGCGCGACGAGGAGCAGCGCGCGAAAACCGAAACCGAAACCGAAAACGAAACCGTCGTCGACGTCGTCAAGGGGAGAGTTTCAACACGTGAGTCTGCTTCCCATACGACCCCGTTCGCGATGTGAACGCCGTTCCTTAAGGACTTTTCCCGTCGCCACTCTTCACCCGCGCTTCCCTTTCAACGTTTGACCGGTAAGACGTTCGACTGACCGATCGCTTCACCCACCCAGTCGACGACGACGACGACGACGAGCGCGTCGGAGTCGCCGCCGCCGTTTCGGTTTTACCCGGCGCCCCCGACGGCGGCGGCGCCGCCGGCGACCGCGCCGGCGTCGACGCCCGCCCGCGTCTCGAACGTCCTCGGGGGCGCGTTCGACGGCATCGGCGACGCGGAGGGGGGCGAGAGACGCGGCGGACGCGACGACGCGGGGACGCCGCCGACGGCGTTTTCTCCGAGCACGCCGTTCGGAGCCGCCGCCGCCGCCGCCGCCGCGAGCGCGAGCGCGAGCGCGAGTCGCTCGTGGACACCCCCGGTGGAAATGATGGCCGGTCTGTCGTTCAACATCGGTGGCGGCGGCGGCGGGAGTTCGAGCAGCGCGAGCGCCGCGAGGAGGGACAAGCGGAAGGAAACCCCGGGAGGGTCGAAGAAGAAGACGGCGGCGTTCGCGTCGCCGAAGAAGAAGCTCGAGACTCGGACGCCCTCGTTCGAGTTTTCGCCGCCGCCTCAACCGCCGCCGCGACCGCCTCAACCGCCGCAGCCGGCGCCCGCTCCGGCGTTTCCTTCGAACAGATACGCGTTCGATCGATTCGGGGCGGCGATCACGCCGCCCGGAAGCTCCCCGGCGGCGACGGGAGGAAGCCCCGGCGGCGGATCAGGCGGCGGGTTTTCGTTCGACGGCGCGAGCCCGACGTTTACCCTGGGTCGCGCCGCGGGGAAGTCGCCGTTCGGGAAGAGCGGGGGCGGGGCGTCTCGAGCGAGGCATAACAACCACGATATTCGATCCGCGGCCGCTGCTGCGGCGGCCGCGGCGGCGGCGGCGGCGGCGGCGGCGAGGTCTCCGTCGAGCGACGCGTTCGCGCGCGTCACGTTTTCGTCGCCGTCGTCGCCGTCGCCGCGAACGCAAACGCAGACGCACACGCAGACGCAGTCGCCGACGCGCGGGCCGATCAAGCGCGCGGCGCGCCCGACAAAGGGCGCGTCCACGTTCCCGCGCGCCCCGGACGCGCTCGACGTGGACGTCCTCCGAGAGCGCGCGGCGAGGATGAACCTCGACGACGACGACGGCGGCGGCGCGCGCGCGGCGGGGGCGGGAAAAGACGTCGTCGCGGAGAGAGAATTCGATAAAGAATCCGCCGCCGCCGCGCACCGCGCGGCTGCGCACCACGCCGCGTCGCGCGCCCCCGGCGCGTCCGCGATCGACGCGAAAGAGCGCGGGAACGTGGCGTTCCGAGCGGGCGAGTACGACGCCGCGGCGGCGTGCTACGACGCCGCGCTCGAGATGATGTCGCGCGAGCGCGGCGTGGTGGAGGTTCGGTGCTCTCGCGCGCGCGCGCACGGCGACGGCGCGCGTCGGTTCGTCGACTACAGGGACGCGGCGGTGTGCTACGCGAACCGCGCGGCGGCGCGGTTGATGCGCGCGTCGTGCGTCGTCGGCGCGGCGTCGGCGTCGGCGGCGTCGGCGATTCGCGCGGCGAACGACGTCAGACTCGCGCTGGAGGACTGCCTCAACGCGCTCTCCGCGGACCCGTCGTTCGACCGCGCGCGTCTCCGCGCGGGGACGTGCCTCATGAAGCTCGGCGCGTTCCCCGAGGCAGCGCGGACGTTCGACGCGTGCGCGCCGCGCGACGCGACCGGGGGCGAGTCCGAGGCGAGAAAACTCGCCGCCGAGGCTTTGCGCGCCGCCGCGTTGACGCGCACGATGCGAACCGTCACGCTGCCGTCGCTTCGCAGCGGGTTCCTCGACGCCGCCGCGCGGGGCGTCGCCGCGGCGATGCGAACCGTCGCGGGTCACGCCGACGCGGCGGCGGCGGACGCGGACGCCGACGCCGACGCGGACGCCGCGCGCCGCGCGATCGCCATCGCGACGCCGCTCGCGGCGCTCGCGCCGCACGCGTCGCACGTCGCGGAGACGAGAGCTCGCGCGCTGTTCATCTTGGGGGACCTCGCGGCGGCGGCGCGCGTCGCATCGTTCGAGGGCCTGGGCGGCGACCGAGAAGACATCGAGCGACGCGACGGCGACGGCGACGGCGGCGACGATGCGGCGACGATGGTTCGCGTCCCCGACGGCGACGGCGACGGCGACGTCCTCGCGTGGTGGCGCGTCGTCATCCCGCCGCTCGCGGAATACGCGACGGGCCGCGTCACGGACCGGCACCGAGCCGTGTTCGCGCGATTCGGCGGCAAGACGAAGGCGGAGATCGCGGCGGATCTCGCGCGCGACGCGGCGCGCGGCGACGACTCGGGTGCGCGCTGTTCTGTTCTCCGCCTCCGCGAACGTTTCGTTTCGTTTCGTTTCGTTTCGTTTCGTTTCGTTTCGTTTCGTTTTTCATCGCCCGTCCGTCTCCCCGGTTTCAACGGACGGTTTCAACGGACGTCCCCTCGTTTTCGACGGACGCGTGATCGCGCGCGCGTTCGACTGACCATCCGATGAATAAACGCGATCGCTCTCTTCGCGCGCCGTCGCGTCGCGTCGTACGCAGGGACGATCGCCGAACGCGAAGACTTTCACGCGCTCGCGGCGGCGGTGACGGCGCAAGTTGACGCACGCGCGCGAGGAAACGAGCGGTTCAAAGCGGCCGCGCACGACGCCGCGCACGAGGCGTACACCGAGGCACTGAACGCATCGGCGTCGGCGTCGGCGTCGGCCTCGGCTGGGGGTCGCGCCCTGAGCGCTGGGTTCGACGGTGCGCGCGGACTAGACCAGACAAGACCGCTCTCCGCGCGACCCCGTCTCCGCGCGTCGCTCATCGCGCGTCGTCGTCTCTCGGGGGACTTACAGTACTTCTCTCTTCCCGCGCCCGCCCGCCCTCTCCGTCGCGCTCTCTCGTCCATCGAAACGTCCACGTCGTCAACACGCGAACCAATCGCATCACTTCCCGCCACCTCACCCACCAATCACAATCACAATCACATCACGACAGCCGCGTGCTTGTGCAACCGCGCGGCGGCGTCGCACGCCGCCGGGAGGATGCTCGACGCGCTCGCCGACTGCGGGCGCGCGCTCGCGTGCAACCCGGCGCACGGCAAGAGCCTCTCTCGCCGCGCGCAAGTCTCGCTGGAGATTCGCGACGCGGCACACGCGGTGAGGGACCTCGAGTCGCTCGTGGCGTTGACGACCTCGAGGGCGTACGTCGAGGGGACGCTCGAGGGAATTCAGGTGCGTTCTTCACACTGGTCCCCATACGACCCCAATGGCGTGGTGAACGCCGATCCTTAAGGACTTTTGCCGTCGTGTCTCTCCGCCCACCCCTCGCGTTCAATACCCGCCCTCGGCGCCTTTCAACTCCAACTGACGCCTTTCAACTCCACCCCGACTTTCGCTTGTATAGACCGACCCTCACGCGCGCGCGAAGAACGCGGCGGGAAGAGGACGAGGCGCCGCGGTGGGGTACGCTGCTTACGGGCCCGACGCCGCCGCCGACGCGCGGGGTCGCGTCGACGTCGCGCGCGCCATCGTGGGCGTCGACGCCGCGTCCGCGGCGCTCGCGCAGACGCGGTTGAGGGACGCGAAGGCGGCGGCGGCGACGCAGGCGCCGCCGGATTATTACAAAATTTTGGACGTGCGCGCGCGCGAGCGCGCGTCCGAGGCGGACGTCAAGCGCGCGTACCGGGCCCTAGGTGCGTTCTATGTCACACTGGTCCCCATACGACCGCGTTCGCGCGGTAAACGCCGTTCCTTAAGGACTTTACTTCCCGGCGTGTCTCTCCGCCCACACCTCGCTTTCAATCCCGACACACCTCGACGCCTTTCAACTTCAACTGACGCCTTTCAACTCCAGCGCTGCGGCATCACCCGGACAAGTCGGCGCGGGGCGGCGGGGTTTTGACGGCGTTCCGGCGCGCGGACGCGGACGCGCTGCGAGCGGACGCGGACCGTCTGTTCAAGCTCCTCGGCGCCGCGAACGCGGTGTTGTCGGACGCGAGGAAACGCGCGGCGCACGACGCGGACGAGCGGCGAAGACGCGCCGCGCCGGCTCGGTCGCATCATTCGCATCATTCGCACGCGCGCGAGGGGTACGCGTATTCGTATTCGCACTCGCATTCGCACGGCGGCGGCGGCGGCGGCGGCGGCGGAGGGTGGGCGGGGGGCGGGAACCCGCCGCCCGCGCGGGGGGCGGGGGGCGGTGGGCGCGGCGGCGGCCGGCGGCCGACGCGGGGTCGACGCGACGGCGGCGCGCGCGGGGGCGGCGACGGGGCGAATAAGTTCGCGGGGAACAGAGGCAGGTTCGGGTTCGCGGGCGGCGGCGGCGGCGGCGGCGGCGGGTTTCGAGCCGGATAGGCGACGGACGGTTTCATTCTTTCGACGACGACGACGACGACGACGACGACGAACGAACGAACGGCGTTCGATTTGCGACGTGCCCCGCGCCGCGCTTCTCTTCCTCGCGCTCGCCCCCGCCCTCCCGCCCGCCCGCCCGCCGCGCGCGCGTCGCGTCGCGTCATCGCCAGTCCGCGTTCCGGTAGTATATGAACTTTTTCCCTTGGCACCGCGAGCACTGGATCATTCCGGGCTTCTTCGCGGGATTCGTTCCGTCGTTGCACACGCCGCACTTGCCCTCGCCGTCTTTCCCTCCGATCCCGAGGAAGCGCTCGCACTTGGACGTGCTGAAGTTCTTCTCCCTCCACCCTTCCGCGACGTGACAGTTGTAGCACTTGCGCGTTCCCGTGCCCAGGCATAGGTCGCAGCGTTTCTTCTCGAGGCCGCCGGTGACGGCGGAGGCGTCGAACCCTTTCCCCGCCGCGGCGCGCGGGACGACGACGACGGCGGCGGCGGCGCGGCGGCCCCGCGCGGTCGAGGACGCGCGCGCGCGGAGTGGGAGGACGCCGCGCGCGGGCGGGAGCGCTCGAGCGGCGAGCATCACGTCGCGCGAGTGATGACCGACTCTGGCGTCGGGCTTCCGACATCGACCTGACCTGGTACCTGGAGTACCTGTACACTGTTAACTGTGTACCTTCGTACATGTACAGGTAGACAGTCTCACATTAATAAGTCGATCCTTCACAACACTTGAGTACGTATTAATCCACGACTGATTGCCCATACGATATCACTGGAATTAGTTCATTAGTTGATCGCGCCCGGTCGACTGTTCAAAGCGAGTAATCGAGGCTGACCGGAGATTCACGATCAAGGGGCGAAAATTTTGAAAGGCAAATCGGCCCACGCGCGCGCCGTTAAACGTGCCCGTAAGGGCGACCCGCGAACAGCATACTGTAGGGCTACTGTGTGTGGATAGGCTAACGAACGCTATCGCTAACCCTCACCGCGCCGGTCTCCGCAGCGCACTTTTCCTCGCGATGTCGGCGGCGCTCCTCCCCGCGCTCGCGCTCGCGCCTCGCGCCTCGCGCGCGGCGCGCGACGCCGCGCCCCGCGCGGCGTCTTCTCACGCCCCGCGCGCGTCGCCCCCGCCGTCCTCGCCCTCGCCCGCCTCGCGAAGAGGCGCCTCCGTCGTCGCGCGCAGCGGCGTCGACCCCGAGTCGCTCGCGATCTTGCAACAGCGGCTCGGGCAGCGCATCGAGCTCGAGGGCGACGGCGCGCAGCGTCTGAACCAGACCGCGGGGCTCCTCCTCGGCGCGGACGGCCGCGCGATCGACAAGGACGAGCGGAAGAAGGTGCTCAAGGCGGACGAGAAAGGGCAGGCGGAGCAGGCGCTGGAGATCTCCTACGGTGCGAGACGACGACGACGACGACGACGACGACGACGACGACGACGCGATTCCGTCCTCCGTCCTCCGTTTCCTTTCCCGTTCCCATCCCGCGGCGGGCGCTCCCTCGGCCTCGCGCGTCGTCCCGTCCCGCGCTCGACACCGCGCCGACGCCGACGCCGACGACGACGCGACCGACCGACCTCCCCCCCCCCCCCCCCGGGGGGATTTTTTTT